CAACCCCCTGATTGGCCCTGCTCTGTGAGTGACAGGGGGCAGCACCCCAACCCCCTGATCAGCCCTGCTCTGTGCGTGACAGGAGGTGGCGCCGCAACCTCCCCATCAACCCTGCCTTGAGTGTGACAGGGGGTGGTGCCCCAACCCCCCAATCGGCCCTACCCTGAGCGTGACTTAGGGTGGCATCGCAACCTCCCGATCTGCCCTGCTCCGTGCATGACGGGGCAGCGCCCCAACTCCCCAATTGGCCCTGCTCTGAGCCTGACCAGGGGCTGCACCTAGGGATTGGGCCTGCCCTCTGCCACCCAGGAGCAGGCCTAAGCCAGCAGGTCGTTATCTCCCGAGGGGTCCCAGACTGCGAGAGGGCACAGGCCGGGCTGGGGGATCCCCTTCCCCCCCCCCCCGAGTGCACAAATTTTTGTGCACCGGGCCTCTAGTCTATATATATAAAAGCCTAAGCGACTGGCCAGTAGGTATGAAGCTCACTGACTACCAGGGGGCAGATGCTCAACTCAGGAGCTGCCGAGTAATAGCAACTTTGCAGAGTGCCCTCTTGCACTCCAGAACCCCTCAGGGGATGTCAGACTGCCGGTTTTGGCCTGATCCCTGCAGGCCAGACCGAGGGACCCCTCTGCTGGAGGGACCATGCTCACTCTGCAGACACCCTTCGAGCCGTGGCACCATCCCAGGTGCGGCTGGCTGGGGAGGGACCATGGGAGGTTGGCTCCAGGGCGTGTCCGGCCCATTTCGCTCAGTCCCACCCACTGTCCACCTTCTAATTAATTTCCTTTCAATGTGCATGAATCTGTGCACCAAGCCTCTAGTTCTTACATAATAAGCACAGCAAGTTTGCATAAATGCTACCTATGACCTGAATGTGTAAGTGGCAATGACACAAAGTATACAAAATACAGAAAACATAGCTACAACTAGTTGCATGAAAAAGTGTTCAGCCTTGTGAGCAATTCAAGAAATGCCAAATAAAACAAGATATTATATAATTGCATTAATATACTATTTTTAGAAAGACAAAGAAATATGGAGAAAAAATATTGGTGGTTGCCAGTGCTTGGGGGAGGGGGCAGGGTA